AAATCAAATTCTCGTGGTAGTCCGTGCAAACACATATCGACTTCTCCATTTCCGGTGGAACTTTCTCTGCACAGCCCTCATTTTGGACTTTGGATTTTTGCACCCATTTCTGGTTTTTGGAAATGACTTGTTTTAGTTCGCGAGGTGCCGGAGCCGCTCGACTCACCACAACGGATGGCGTGGCAGAGCGACGAGGAGACGCCGAGTTTACGGAAGCGAAGTGTACGCAAGCTGATGGACGCCCTGTTTCCGTACCCCTACGTCAAAGACTCGCGGATACAAGACATTGCCCTGTATGCGGCGAGGCTGGAGAAGGATCTGTACGACAAGGGAACCAGCAAGGTATCGTAACTTTCGAGAATAGAGACAATCTTTTTAATAATTAGTTTTTCCCTATAATTTAGCTTTACTAAAATAAATGTAGCAAGTATTTCCAAATTCAATTATCCATTTGAAGATACAAGATTAAGCTTTTTACGTAACTTTTTAATTTTTAGACGGATTGTAGAGCTTTCTAAGTAATTTTTCCGGCTTGCAATACTGAAAACAACATAAAAACCTATTCTTGTAGACGGACTTCCTGCAAGCCGTCGCCGAGCGCATCTACCACATCAAGAAGGAGCTGGACGACAAGAAGGCGAGGAGAGCGAACGGGCAGGAGCCGCACCCGCAAATCAGTCAAATACACCAGCAACAACAGCAGCAGCAACAACAGATGCAGCAAATACAGCAGCAACCAAACTCGCAGCAGGGACCATCGAATGGACAGGCGCCGTTGCAGAATATTGGTATGTTTTAATGGTATAAATATTAGTAGGAGGAGTAATATTATTAATAAATTAATAGGAGTAATTTTTCCATGTGATTATCCACCAGAAATTGACGAAAAGTTACGATTGATTGCGTAAAATTGAGCAATATTGATTTTTAGACTAGCCGTTGCGAAATAAAACCGGATTTAACGCTTTTATTTTGCTTCATTCCTTGAAATTTTACCATATTAAAGTTTGTAAAATTAATTGCTGCAGATGGCACAGTGGGTTACGTTAAATTGCGGATTTTACGATGTACGTAATACAACTTTTTTAGAAAACAACGCCATGATGCAGCCGGACATCAAGCCGGTGATACCTCCGCAACAACAGCAGCAATACCAACAGCAGTTGCAACAACAACAACAGCAACAAGCGCATCAACAGGCTCAACAATATTCCCAGCAGCAGCAGCCACAGCCCCAGCAAAATAACTGGGCCCACCAGCCGAACGCCAGCACGTCGTACGGGCAAATGGGTCAGTTTTTAGCAAACTAACTTTTGCCAAACACTTCAAATAAGTGGTTTTTGGAACCTTAAATCCTTTTTTTGAAAGAATAATCGAGTTTTTTAGCTCCATCGCACGGCCAGGATTTGAAGCGGTCTTCTACCGGGTCTGAGACGTCTGAAGTGCCGAATAAGCAGATTGTAAGCTGCCGTTTAAATCATAAAATTCACGTTTTTCTTTAGAAAACCGAGCCGTTCGATTCCGCTTCAACACCACCGGCCCTCGAAAATGCCAGCATCGACATGAAGCCCGACTTGGCGAGCATGAGTGAAAGCAAAGTGACGCCGCCCGGTTAGTCGATTAAAATTGAAGCTTAGTAGCTCGGAATTTTCTGAAATTTAAATTATTGAGATTAGAAACATTTTTTACGATTTATTTGGTAAAATGTTTGCTTTTTAGCCCATTTAAATTAGGCCTAGAAAATTGGGTTCCTCTGAAACAAACGTTTTTTTCAGCCCAACCAACCCCGGCGCAGAACAACAACACGCAACGACAACGCTCCGAGCCCCCACCCCCGCCAAAACCCTCGAAGCCGTCAGTAGATGAACCACCGGGCGAGGACACGGTCCACGACGCCGAGTCGATGAAGCGCCATTTGATGCCGGTGTTCACGATTTGCTGGGAGATGGAGGAGGCCGTGATTTTCCACGAACCAGTGGATCCGATAAAGCTGGGGATTCCGGTAAGGGAATGGAGCTTGATTTTTTTGAAAAAATCGGACTTTTCTCGAGAACGGGAACTCTTTTTTGTGAAAAATCGTTTTTTTCGAAAGCGCTGTTCGAAGCTCGCTTTTTCGAAAAGCATTTTGTGGAAAATTCGACATTTTCGGCAATTCCACGCAATTTGACGATCTAATTTCCGAAAATAATTTTCGAAAAAGTTATTTTCAAAATTTTTACGAAAAATAATGAACTTCTATAGCTTGAAATATTCCCCAAAAATTCCTCGATTTTTAGCAATACGCCGACATCATCAAGCAGCCGATGGACCTGTCGACGATCAGGAACAAACTGAACCGGGGCGGATACGCGAACCCCTGGCAATTCTGTGAGGACATGTGGCTGATGTTCGACAACGCGTGGACGTTCAACAAGAAGGCTACGAAAGTTTATAAGCAAACCACAAAGGTAAACTTGTTATTTGAATTCTGGAAAATATTGTACTAGGTGCACGAAATCTTCACGCTGGAGATGAACGTGGCGATGGAGAAGATGGGGTATTGTTGCTCGCAGCGGCTGACCTTCACCGAGTTGCCACTGTTCTGCTACGGCGCCGGGCAGTGCTTGATCCTGTGGGATCAGCCGTATATGTGGTAGGTTTTGCTGAACCTGTTGGTGACGTTGACCTTGAACTGGTTGATGTCGTTGTTTCGAGGATAAGCTAATTATGTTTTTTTAGCTACGAGCAGAACAGCTGCCAGTTCAACATCCAGGTGTCGGAGAAGTACACTTACTGCTTGAAGTGCTTCGACTCGCTGGTGCCGCCGGAGGGAATGGCTTTAACTGATGATCCGAATGACCAGAATCGGGTGAAAAAGGTGCGAAATCTCTCTCGCTCTCTCTCTCTCTCTCTCTCTCTCTCTCTCTCTCTCGCTCTCTCTCGCTCTCTAGCTAACGATACTCTTTCAGGACGCCTTCCAACTGATGAAAAACAACCAGCGTGAGTACGAGCCGATGGAGGTGTGCAAGCTGTGCCACCGGAAATGGCACAAAATCTGCGCCAACTACCACAACAAGGTATACAAAGTTTTCTGATTTTATCACTGTTTGTCAAAATTCTAGATCTACACCGAGGGCTTCACCTGCGAGACGTGCCTGAAAGAGAAGGAGTTGACCAAGCAGGAGAACAAGTTCACCGCCAAGAAGCTACCGCACACCAAGTTGAGCCAGCACCTTGAGGTATGAATTGAATTCGTATAATAGGGCCTTGAACTGCTGATTTTTATTTATTAAAATGTTTTAGGACCGCGTAAACGGGTACGTCAAACGGACCACCGACGAAGAGCTCGAGGTGGTCATTCGCGTGCTGTCGGTCCAAGAGAAGGAGGTGGAAGTGCGGAAGGAGATACGGGACAAGTGAGTTATTAAAATTTGTTGAAATATAGTTTTTTAAACTTTATAATCCTCTCCCTCGCTTTAGATACAGCATGCAAGGCTTCCCCGACAAGTTCCCCTACCGCTCGAAGGCCATCTTCGCCTTCGAGGTGATCGATGGGGCGGAGGTGTGCTTCTTCGGCATGCACGTCCAGGAGTATGACAACAAGTGCGGCGGGAATAATCAGAGGTAAGAATTTGTTGATTTTTATAGAATTGTATTGTATATTTTTTTTCTACGTGATCTATATTTTTCTACATCTTTTTTAGGCGCGTCTACATCGCCTACCTCGACTCGGTCAACTTTTTCCAACCACGCACGATGCGGACAGACGTGTACCACGAGATTTTGTTGGGGTATTTGGAGTGAGTTTTTGAAGATGATCAAGCTTAAAATCTGGCGTTTTGTCAACCGACTACGCAATGATATATGCATCATATTTTTATTTTTTAGCTACGCAAAACAACTCGGCTACACCATGGCGCATCTCTGGGCTTGTCCACCCGGCGAAGGCGATGACTACATTTTCCACTGCCATCCCCCGGACCAGAAGATGCCCAAGCCGAAGCGATTGCAGGTAAAAAAATTACGGCGGCTTGGAGCAGTACATGAGAATTGGCTGCAAATTACGCGGGATTCGCCCAGTACAAGCAAATAGGTTCTAAATTCGTTTGTTTCGATTTGAATTGACTTCGAGCAGTCCAATAAAATTGGTTTTTGAATTTTCTCGGATTCGAGCAGCACACGAAAATCGGTTTCAAATTGCGCCGACTTGAAGGATTACAAGACAATCAGTTCAATTCCCTGATTTAGGACTGGTACCGCTGCATGCTGACCAAGGGCAAAGAACAGGGCGTTGTCGTCGAATTCAAGGACATCTACAAGCAGGCCGTCGACGACGATCTGCGCTGCCCGATCGAGTTGCCGTATTTTGAGGGCGACTTCTGGCCGGGCATCATCGAGGAGTGCATCCGGGACGCGAAGGACGAGGAGACGAAGCGGTTACAGGGCGGCGATGATGAGGATGACATCGTGTCGAAGAGCCATTCCAAGAAGAAGAGGTCGGTTTTAGACTTTTGATTGCGATATTTTAGAATTTAATTAATTTTAAAACTTGTACTTTTGACGTTGTGTCGACATTTTCATCTTCGAATTCTGATTTTCAAAATTTTAGCAAGCGTTAAATTGCACAAGCCATAGATTCACTTGCATCACCCATTACCCATTTAATTACGCAATGAAATAGATACGCATCAATACTTGCGTTTTTCAGCACCAAGGCCTCGAAGAACAAGAAGAAGCCGGAGAAGACGAAGCAGTCCACCGGGGACCTGATCACTGACAAGCTCTACACCCAGTTGGAGAAGCACAAGGACGTCTTCTTCACGATACGGCTTGTCCCCGAGAAGGAGTTGCCCAAGGTGCACGCCATCGACATTGCCGACCCTGATCGTCTACTGGCCAGCGAGCTGATGGAGAACCGGGACAATTTCTTGCAGCGAGCCCGCGAGGATCACTGGGAGTTCAGCAGTCTGAGGAGGTGAGCATGAGGTTCTGCTTTTAAAGGGACCGGCAAGACATAGGAGTATCTTCTTGCATCCCGTAATTTATGGCGAATATAGACGCGATTATGTTTTCGTTTTTCATTCCAAATTTTAAGAGCAAAATACTCGACGCTGTGCATGTGCCACGCGCTGCACAACGACCCCGGCCAGAAGGACGGCATCGCCACGTGCAACCTGTGCAACGCGACGGCCAAGTGGCACTGCAATACCTGCGAGGTGAGTGGGGCGGGAGGATTTTTGCCGGATCGGAAAATTGCCAAAATCATTTTTGGTGGGGTACGGCTTTTAGTTTTCTAATTGAATTCTATATACGAATAAACGATTCTTTTTTAGGACTTCGACATGTGCGACAAGTGCAAGGAGGCCAAGCCGCACAAGCACCCGTTGGAGAAGATTGCCCAACTTGTCGATGGTGGTACGAACGGCGAGAAGAAGGACAAGAACGGGGTACGGTATTTTGGGCGTGATTTAGAAATTTTTTATAGCTTACGTTCTTATTGCTTGAAAAGCTTGATAGCTTGTATTTTTATGTTTTTATAACTTTAGAAACTTTAGAATACGGTTTCTTCTGCCGTGAGTATTCCCATTTTTTAGCGTCTCCAAGCCTGCGCGATGGCGCTGCAACACGCGTGCCAGTGCCGCGACGCCAACTGCAACGAGCGCAACTGCCAGAAGATGAAGAAGGTCGTCCAGCACACAAAGGTATATTTTGTGATATTTAATTTAAAGTTTTAAAGTGTTTTTTATTATAAAAGTTGTTAAACTTTTTAAAATTGAGTTTTCTAGTCATTTAATCAATTAAATCAATCCTTTTTAGACGTGCAAGAAGCGCATGACCAGCGACTGCCAGTACTGCAAGCAGTTGATCGCCCTGTGCTGCTACCACGCCAAGAATTGCCACAAGGAGCAGTGCCCGGTAAGGAATTTTTGAATATTGTATTTTCTGTTCCTATTTCTGTTTCGTATAATTATTGACGTGATTTAGATCCCGTACTGCTCGGCCATCCGGCACAAGCTGAACGAGCAGAAGCAGAGCCAGGTGCGCCGCTCGGAGATGATGATGAGGCGGCGAATGGAGGGTATTCGAGGCAGGGACGCGCTTCAACACCAGCTCTCCCAATCTCAGGGTTCCCCGACAGGGATGGAGCAGAGTCCCGCGACGAATGGTCAGTTTTATCCGATTTCTTGACTAGACAGAGACGCAGGCGTTTTCTAGCAGTTCAACCCCACAGGAAAAATTTATCTTGTCAATCAGCTACGAATCCCGAGCTTTTGAACCAGTTTTTTTCTGTTCTTCATAACCAATTTATGATGCCGAGCTTTTCAAGCAGTTCAGCCCCACAGGAAAAATATCGCGAATTTCGTGCTCCCGAACTTTTCAAGCTGTTCTTATTAAAAACGCCGCTTTCTCCCGCCCTTCGGTAGCAATTTCCGCGCCCGAGCTTTCAAGCAGCTCAACACCCTCATTTTTAGGCCCCGGCAGCATCAACGCCTCGAAAAATGGCGGTCCCGGCTCGGTGGGCCCCGGCTCGAACAAGTCGATGCACCAGCAGCAGAGTAAGCTAATTTTAGAGAAAGTTTATCGAACGTGTCCAAATTGACGTAACGTATCCTTTTTTAGTGATGAGCTACGGCGCGCAACAACAAGCCCAACAACAGCAGCCCCAATCTCAACACCTGCAGCAACACGGAGCCCAGAAGGGCGGCGCCGGCTCGTACATGCCGATGGCCCAGCTGCCCGCCCAGGGCCAGTACAACCCGATGATGGACCAGCAGAACCGGCAGATGTATGGAATGCAACAACAGCAACAAGCGCAGCAGCAGATGCACCAGCAACGACCGCAAGCAGGTATGCTAATTTTTGGGCCTACTAAAGTTATGTCGAAATTCTGGAACTGGGAAAGTTACGGAAATTCCTCACCTTGATTTTTAGGAGTTGTCGTGTTTTTGGAAAATAACTATTTCGAAGAGTTTTTTTGAGACCTACTTTCTTTGTCTTTTCTTTGACCTACTTTCTTTGACTTGTGTCTTTTTCGAAAAGGGATTTTGCTTTTTTTGGGAAATGTTAGGTTTTTGATATGATAAAAAATTTTCGGTTTTGAATTCACGAATAGTGATGGTATTTTTCGGTATAACGTCATAAAACCCATTTTTTAGTCGCCGCCCAGCCGCAACGACAAGTCGATCCACGGGTGCAAGGCGTCGTTCGACAGTTCAACTCATTGAAGGGTAATCCTGAGGAGCGAGAACGGATGCTCGGGGAGCTGAAGAAGCAGCCGCCGTTGTTCCAGGCTTTCATAAAGGTTGGCTCGCGCTCTCTCTCTCTCTCTCTCTCTCTCTCTCTCTCTCTCTCTCTCTTCTGTCTCTCTCTCTGTATTATATCATGTTTTTAGGAAATCCAAGCCCAGCGCGACCAACAACAACCTCCACCCCCGCCGTGGATGCAGACGAGTGGCCAGATGCCGATGGGAGCTCAGGGGCAACGACCCCCAATGGGACAGCACCCCGGCCAATACCCGGCACATATGCAGCAACATATGCAACAGCAACAGCAGCAGTATTACGGTATGTAATTAGCTTTGTCGTGTTTGTCCAGACCTAGTTAGGGGGTTGATTTTTTAGACTTCATGGCCCCTTTAAAATATCCCATTTAGGCCAACAACACCAACAACAACAGCTGCAGCAACAGCAAAAGCAGTGGCCCACTGGAAAATAGACCTCTCTGCCCATCTGCTGCTCCACTCGCCTTCCACCCCCCACACGTGTACGTCTCCAAGTCGGCTTCTCCACCCCCGGGTAGCAACAACTACAGGCAGTATTAGGTGAGTCTCAACTTTTTGGGATTGTTGACAGGGAACTGAATTTTGATGCATTTGTAAAGTCTATTTTTTAGTAAGAGTCAGTCTGAACCTCTTGGAGTTGTCGTTAATCTTCTCCTTTATTTCTTTGATAGGACAAAAACATATCTCACTCCGCATTTAAACCTCGCTGACCCCCTTGAGGATGGCGATAGGCTTGGTATCTAGGGTTTCGCAAGTCTGAGAAATGGGTCTGAACCTCTTGAAATTCTCGCTAGCTAAGCCGGCGGCCAGCTTGGGGAATGTGAATGACCTCCTTGGACTTGACGCAAAGTCTAATACGCAGTCTGACCTTCTTGAAGTTGTCGCTCATTAAAGAAAAGCCACTTCTGGCTCCACGTTCAATCCATTTTTTCAGATTTCTTCGTGTGCGCGCATGTTGTCTTCCCGCTTCTTCTACCGCCCCACACACATCTCAACGAGCCACCCACACTAACCCCACAACACTACTGTGATGCAAATTTTTGGACCGCCGAATATATTCCGTTGTTTACTACTTGCGTGGTTCTCCTCCACGTACTCCTCACCTCGTCGCCTACCGTAATCTATTCACCTTACCCGTACCCCCGCTCAGGTGCCAATCATTGATTTTTCTGTTTTCCTGTGTCTCCCCCGGATTGTATAGCCCACACTGTTTCACTTTCCACGTTTTGTCGATTTTCATTGCGTAATATGCCAATCCCCCGACAGAAAACCCCCCGATTGTTGCATTTACTCCTCCCGCCCTTTTCTAACCCAATTTTATTCGTTTTTATGGAATTTTTCCGGCTTGGGGCCTCGGGTGGGTCCGTGTTGGCCCCTTGTCGGGCAAAACTGGCCAAAAATTCGAAGCAGATTTTTTGGTCCTGGACTGTTAGCGGGGGGGAGGATTTTTAGCCGGGGTTAAAAAAGCCGAGTTAAAGAAAAACACTATAAAAATACCGTAACTGTATTTATTATCAACAGCTCAGATTAGCCTCCCCCGTTAGCAGTCCAGTACCTTCTTTTTTTATAGAAAAACTAACCCCCTCGTGACCTTTGTGCACACATTCCTACCTAGAAAATCCCATTTTCCCGCCCGCCCCTTGGAAAATTACCATAATTTGTGAAATGTCGAATTTTTTTGGTGAAATGTGAAATTTTCTGTGAAAATCCGTTTCTTACTCTGCTGATTTCCAAATACTGGGTGTCCCGTATCGAAAAACGCTGTGCTCCTAAAAATATACCGCTGTTGACCACACACACGAGATCCCCCCCATTAACTAATTCATTTTTTGGTCATCTACTTGTGCTTTTTTCTGTGAAAGGAAGTATATTATTATTTTTCTACTTTTACTCTGTGTCTTGTTTCTGAGGCTTTATGGTTTTCTGTTGCGTTTCTTCCCTCCATTTTGTGGCCCCGCGTCTCCTTTGGCCACTTTTGTCCCAAGGAACCCCCGATATATAGGATCCAATAAATATGTTGCTATTTGGAGGCGGCTTGATCGGGATTTTTGTGGTGATGGTACTCCGGAGAACCAGAAGTATTTTTGCGTTGCCTTTGGTTTACTAATATTGATTATAGCGTGCTAAAAATATAAATATTATACTAATGTTCGGGCAATGCTTTTAAAGGAGCGTTGCAGGATTCAGAAAAATTAACTAAATATAGGTGTTTTTGCGTTATTGGCGGGGGTCCTATAATTAGAGAAATGCCTAGTAATGTAACAGCAAGTAGTTTAATAGTGTTTTTAGTCGTATTTAACGATATTTCGAGCGCCAAAATAACACCAAGGATTTGGAAAATCATACATTTTGATAGGACACGCTAGTTTTGGGCAAAAAATCTTTGTATATTTTAACGAGAATTTGGAAGGGAATGCGAATTCGAAGTTTTGAATGGCATTGCGTTCAATTTATAAAGATTAGGTTAATTCCTATCCAGTCCGATGAAAAAAATTCAAAAAAAGCAATATGCAACAACTTTCAGGACTGGCTTCTTGCCGAGATTGAGCCCCAGCCGATGCCATCCAGCGAGGAGCCGGATGAGGCGGATGGCTCGGGAAAAGGTTGGCAATCTTAGAATATAGTTGTCGGCATTATGACACTGTCGCTCAGCAAACATCATAAAAAACTAGTTTGCACGGTTTCAGAAAAAGGACAATGACAGCCCTACCCCGTGCACCTCAAAGAATGATGCTCAAGATGATGTGCCGAGTACATCATCGGCGTTAGACATTGAAGAGGATGGCGCCGATGTTGATAGCGTTGGTTATAAATTATAATATTTTTTTTTTTTATTTTTAGAAAATTTGAAAATACAAAAATTTAAAAAAAAAAAGAAAAAAATCCCGACGTTTAAAAAAAATTTCAATAATGGGATATAAAAAGCTTAATACCTTTTTGAATACTTTAACGGCCAATTTTTAGGACGTTTTCGAATACATGGACTCCCCGCCGCCCTATTCCCCATCGGAGGTACGTTAACTACTCAATTACATCCGTACCACTGACGTAGCTATTGGCGTTCAAGTGTATACGTACTACGTACTCACGTAGCGCAACATATCGGATAAATTCCCTTTTTAGGCATGGCGAGATGAGACGGCGGCGGTTCGACCGCGTTGCGTCTTTTTCTTGAGGAGAGCGCTGACGCCGCGATTCGAGGAGGGCGATCCGCATGGGGATCGACTGCATCCGATTCATCGGGAAATCGAGTACGATGCCGAGAAGCTGGAGCAGGGATTGTTCAAGGACGCCGGGAACCATGTAAGTTGGAACGGAATGGAGGATAAAATTCTTGTTTCTAACGTGTGAAAAATTTTTCATAAAAAATTCGCCTACTTTCATTTTTTGTAACGCAATCGTAGCTATTTTTAAAAATGGTGGTACGTTCTAAAAATGTCTTAGGCGAAAACTATCAAAGAATTCTATTCTATTCTAAAATGCGAGATTTTTATCAATTCGGCCATGTTTGGTCGAAGATAGGAATAATTGTTATAAAAATATTAATATATTAGATGAAAATCGGTGAGACGAAGTCAGCTTAGATTTTGAAACTTTGAAACTTTCCAAGGCATGGAAAACCGTTTTAAAGCAATGCTACCATGTTTAATGAAACTTAAAGTGTGCTAAAATTTAATTTAGGAAGACTACATGACCAGCGTGCTCGAAAAGATCTCCACCTCGACGGGTGGCCAAGAAACGGCGGGCCAGGCGTGGAATGAACTGCTCCGAGTTGAAGGCGTCGGTCCAGCGAATCAGTAGGGTCCGGAAATCAAAGACAAAGTCGATTACCACAAAATTTCAGGGGCGTCGCTGAAAGACGGTTTTTCGACTGAGCCATTACAAAATATGTCGGGTGTTTTATCGGCAAAAATCCCGACAGCGCCCTGGCCATCTTCGACAAAAAGCACATCAACTGATGGCAGTACAAGTATATACAACCGGCTACAATATTACACGTACTAACTCACAAATGTCCTCTCATAATCCCCTCCCTCGAGCCATATCTATTTTTTTCTATTTTGCATTAATGCCCCCATTTTATATCTTTAAATTTGTAAAACCCGAAAGTGCTCCTTGCGGTACTTTTGCATTATCGGGGGACCTAATATATTTGCTTAGAAGTCCAGAAATAGCTAATAACGGAATATTAATGTGTATTAGTGTTTTTGGTAAAACTTAGACTATATCGAAAGGGAAACTCCATGAAAAAAAATCTGAAAAACTTGCAAAAACCAAATATTTTTGTATTTTAGCGTTTTTTGTATATATGCAGGAATTTTAATAAGCAAGCAAATCTTTAAATCCTAAATCCAATAATACACCTTCCCCCCCGGATAATGCAAATGCCCCTGATTTTGCATATCCCCTCCGCCTCCCCTTTTCCCTCTCAACGATCTCCAAAACGCGGTCGTCAAAACACATACAAATCCTCGGTTCAACTTTCGGTCTATCAGCAAGCCCCGTGACTTTTCTCCTTTATTTTTGGTATATTTTTTATTAATTTTGGTATCAATTTTGCTGTGATGCTTTGAGACATACAGTATTCTTGCCATTAATGCCCCAATCCCCACAGTCTGCTCTGAGATTTTTTCTGGCTTTACGAAATGCAAATAGCGTTGCTGTTTTCTGGTCTTATTGCTGTTATTTTTGTGGAATGTATTTTTTTATAAAATTATATAAGTTTCGAAGTCTACAAAAAACGACAAAAATCTTGCTAATAACGCCATTAACAGAATTTCGGGAATTCCTAAAGGATCCCTGCTAGCCCACTTTTCGGAAAGGACCTGGTAGTCAAACATGAACTATTCAAACACATAAATGGTGGCAGGAGGATCGGCAACAGAGCTAGTCTGTGCCGATAAGTGGACCCGCAACGAGATAATACAATCTAGTGATAGGCGGGGAGTGGCGCACGCGACGCGACCGCAGGGGGGCGCGCGCCGGTGGCTTACCCACTGGATAGGAGGGACAGCCGGGAAAGAGCATCTAATGTGGTCTAGCAAGCTAGCACCACAACACTTAAAAAATCACTATTCGTAACTACGTAATCGATATAGCAAAATACACCCATTTACGCGATTAATTAGAACTTACAATTAAAAGCACTGTTAGTAAGATTCCTAAGGAACCTCTCCTAGCTTGTCTCCCGAACTCAAGGGCGATTCAACTTAAAGGGGCTCCGAAATCTGATCCACGGCCCCCTGCTGTGATTCCTGGCAAATAGCCAGATGCGGCCGCAACGCGACCGCGCCGCATGATCTTTTGCCCCTGTTTGGACGCGAAAACGCTTCAATTTCAAAATTCTGATGCTGTTTTTGGAATCCTCAACGAATTTTGATCATTCCGGACTTTTAGTTTATGAAAATTGACCAGAGAATCACCGAGATCGAGAGATTGGGTGCTTTACAAGGAATCACGACATGTAATTGCCGCGCACACAAAATTTCGCTTTTGCCCCAAAAAGAATTAGGTTTTTCTCAAACATTTTACGTTTTTTCGCAATCAAATCACTTTTCTGGCACTTCTCGGCAGTGACCCTTTCGTTTTTTGACCCGTAGGCCGATTACCCGCACGCACGAATTTTGACTTCTGAGCCCCTTTAAAAAAGGTCCATCGTTTATGGCAATGCCAAATCCGGATCCGCTTTTGGGAATTCCTCAAAAGTCTTTGCTAGGGCGCCGTCGAAGAAAGGCATTTATGCCTTAGTCGGAATCGAGCTTCTGTCCAAGCGTCCGGTTCGCTTACCTCGGACTGAGCACGGAAGTAGCTGAACCGTGACAAGGCAAAGATTTTCCGTTTGCTCGATAAAACCTTACAACCCACGACGATCCACTAGGACGGTTTTCTCGTAACCACACAAGAATCGGCCCAGTTCCTGGACCAGCTGCATGCCCTTTCCGTGGCAATTTTTTGGAACACAGGCCCATTATGAGGGCGTACAGGCCGTTGGCGGAGGAGCCAAAGGAGCAGGCGAATCGTTTGATTTTCGCGCGTTCCTTCATGTTTACCATATCGGAGCGTGATTTAGAAGACAAAGGCCGTAAAAGCGCGATTTGCCGCACTAATAGAGCTTTCATAATGGCATCGTTGATAGAGTTCCTCTCTCTCTCTCTCGCTCTCTCTCTCTCTCTCTCTCTCCCTCTCTCTCTTTTCTTTCCGTAACGTTCTTATTCCGAGCCCCTTTAATTCACGTGTAACATCCCGCCTACCCAGCCATTTTTCGGAATTCCACCCCAGCAAAGCTGTAAATCAAAAGCCTTGGCCTCATTCGGAATTGGGCATTCGGGGCTGTTGTCACAATTTGGAATGGTCCTGGGTTTTTTTGGTGCCGACGAGCTGATTTTCTACCGTTTGCTGGAAGGGGTTACCAACGTAAAAAAATCGATGTCATGGCGTGGTGGGTAGACGAATATAGACTGTGGGCACCGGTCCTTTTTTGGATCAGACAACGATTTTTCGAAGGATCAGATTGGCTTTGTCCGCATCAGGGTTTAATCCGTTTTATGCTAGCTACAAATTTCAGCACTTTGGCGTTCGAAATATTCAAAAATTATCTTTGAAATGGGCCAAATTTTCAACTTCTCTGATTCAATTTTTAATGAAGTTTCTGAATTTTCCGACCTGTCCTAGGGCAATTTAGTGCATAATTTTAATTTAGGAATATTCCTTGATTTTTAACCGGATTTGGCAAAATTTTCAACTCCAGTTTTCTCCTTCTGAACTGTGTCCAAACATTAATATCCCTTTTTGTTGTTTTGAAACGAAAGTTATACTCAATTCCCAAGTAACCCCCTAATTTCTAACCCTCAAAAGCTCCGGCAAAGGCAACACTTAGACAAATTGGCGGGGGCGACTAGCGGCGCCCGTTCCCATAAAAATCACGTTCCCACGGTTCGGCAGCTAGTAATATGGATATTAGCCGGGTAGTGGCTAGGGAAATTGGCTACAAGGTAGGAAGGGTTTTCTGGGTTCAATTCTCTCTGTCTAGCTCCCGATCTCTGACTTTTTGGCACTTTTTCTAGAAGTTTAAAACCGGAAATTGTTAATCAAGGTCAAATTAACTAAGATATGGTCCGAAGGCCTCAATTGCCGGAAATTAGGTTACGATGATCGATTTTAAAAGTTTTTTTTGACCCTTGGAGCCAACCAATATTTTCGAAATTTCGAAAAGCAACGCAGCATACCGGTGAATACGCTACGAAAAGCTTCAAATATTTTGTGGGACCGACCAGGCCGCCCTTCCTGCCGATATGTTGTCAAGATATTGGGCGGCTGGCCCCTTCAAAAATTTGTTGCCGCAATGCCATTTACTTCCTTATCAGATTTCCTGTCTCAACCAGTTTCATAACTCGGATTTTTGGTTACGACATCGAATTCAGGTTTCTTGCACTTCTAAAAAGTCTAAAAATTCCATTTTTTTGAGCATTTTTTAGCAATCCAAGCCGGAAACGTACCGCAACCGGAAGCAGGACAATCGTTAAAGAGATGAGGACGGCATCTGTTGAACCCCCCTTGGGGAGGGGGGGGGGGTTCAACAGGTCCCGCGGCGATCTCGCGCGAGAGAGGGCTCCCAGGGGAGAGGCGCAGAGACATTTTCTTTCTCTCGCGTAATCGATTGACTTATGCCGCCCCTATCTCTTTAAGTCGGATTTCCGCTACATTGAAAAATCTTATTGAATCCGGGGGGCAAACTAGCCGTTATTATTGCGGACATTTTAATGCGCCGACGTTGAAAGGCTTATGAAGATTGCCAGTAATGCAAAACGTACTTTTCTATATAATTTTTGGCTTTGGAATCACGATTATCCTCACAAAGCCAGGGGCAAGCTAGCAGAGATTCTTGGGGAAGTTGTATTTCCGGAAATCGGTCGCGTAAGTAAATGTGGGTCCGTTAACGATCTAGAGGCAAGCTAGCAGAGATCCTCGCGGAAACTCTAGTTTCCACTTTTAAGCAGCTTCCTGTTGTGAAATGAAAATTCCCATGGTAATCCAGGGGAGATTATTGGGGAAAACGGTTCCTTCCTGGAGCCGGAATTTTACGCAACTTCCTATTGGCGCTTAAATTCCTTCTCAGGGATCTTTTTGATCGGAATATCCAACTTCCGGCGTCTTCAAATCCCCCTGGGCCTTGTGAATCATACTTCGCATTATTATATCTTTTCTGATTCTGAATTCCGAGCCGGGCGATCCGTAATTGCGGTCCACTACCTACTCCCGGAGCGAATAATTAGCTCTCTCTCTCTCTCTCTCTCTCTCTCTCTCTCTCTCTCCCGTCTCTCTCTCTCGCTTTCGCTCTCTCCCGCTTTCTCTCTGTGTCTCACGCACAATCAAGGAACTTGCCTCAAGCTACAAATAAGCAGTCCTTCCCCCTCTAGAGAATTTATCACGAGACCCAAAATTGACACCTTTTTGGCATCCGAATTGCCCCCAGATTTTTATTTTAACCGTAAAAATTGAGCCTTGAAATTTGGCTCTTGAGCTTTAGATATTTTCAAAGAAGATATAGCAAAAATTGGACAATTTGTAGTTTCCTCTTGAAAGTAATTAAAAAGATCCGGAAAGGAGGATTAATCAATTTTCAAGAGCTCCAAACCACTCAAAAATCCTTTTAATTTGTATACGTGGAAAAGCTCCCCCAGATCGGCCTACGCCCAGTAGCATTCAAAAATCGACCCGGCGTGTGGGAATTTTAGGCGCACGAAAATTGTGCGATTGCGTAAATTGACAAAACCCTGTCGCTAGGGTCACACGATATCGTCTGGGTTGTAGGGTTGACTTCATAAATCAAGAAATTTCCACGCACGTCGAAAGCTCACCAAAGTACAAAGATTCGGATTCCCATTCGCCGGCCGAGCAGCAATCGGGCTAACGTTTCTTTAATTTCATGCTTATAAAGCTGGTGTCACCGTCCCTTTAAACCAGGACGCCGCGGCAACTGGTTTAGGTATCTGTTACCGCATAAGCCAAAAATCATTTCTCACAAATCCTGCCGAAAAACATTACCAAAAGTCCTTCACACTCACTTTAATAGATCAAAGGTACTTTTAGCTTGGTGAAAACCGACTAAGGTATCTTGGTCCTTTTCACTGCTGCCTATACCTATTAAAGTCTCCGTCCTGTTACGCTCCCTTTAATGACCTGTTCCTGGCCAGGCGCATCTATTAATGCGGAAACAAATGCGCGTGTTTGTAGCATAGTCGTAAACTCCCCGCCAATTCCGGTTTCCGGGTCTTTAATTTATCCATCATCGTCTGTCACGCTGCCTTTAATACCCGTAGGAGAGAGGGTGTTCCCCGTCCTATTAATGCGTTGTCATGGCACCCTGTTGGCCATGTAAAGGGCGGGGGAGGGGTTGGTGACCGCGATGTACCCCTATATCCGCGTTTCTCTCTCTCTCTCTCTCTCTCTCTCTCTCTCTCTCTCTCTCTCTTTCTCTCTCGCTCTCGCTAGAGGGGGAAGAATCGGATTTCCCGAATGGCGCGCAAATCTTCTAATCCGACCATGGGGATCCGGCTGGTATATAACGCGACACATCCTTATTTTTTCTTAGGTGAAAAAGTTGTTGATGACTCAAAATCACCGCGGTCTCTGTCTCTGTCTCTCTCGCTCGCTTCTCTCGCTTCCTCGCAAATTTACCATATGCTGATTCCGTTGGACTGCGCGTTGACACGACTCCAGCTAAGCCACGCCCCTTGGCGCGGCTCCTTTCGCTCCTCAGAAAAACATAAACAACCCCGGGGTCGCGGCCAATATGTCGCCCCAGTCCCTCATTTCTAATCAGATCGGCAACATCGGTTCCATTGCCAGATTTCCTCCTGGATTTTTCATGGTTTTCCTTCAGCTGGGGATGAGGTGTCTATCGGAATTTAGTGGATACCGATAGCACTCAAAAACCGCTTCAAAACGTTTCGGAGCTATCAGGACACCCTGATTTCGTGTTGCCAGCTTCAAAAACCAATGCCTATCCTTATTTCTAGCTGGAAAAGCCTTGTGGATTAGTCATCGGGTGTCTCTTAGAATTTACTGGCCACCGATAACGCCCCCCCCCCCAAACGTTTCAAAACGTTCCGAAACCCCTTTGGAACACTGATAAGCTTATTTTCTGATGGCAATCTTTGACAAACATTTGCAAGAAATCAGGCTTTTCAGAATCTTGGCTTTTCAACTACTTTTTTGCAAAGTTTTTGACAAAAAATGTTGTATTCTGTTTCCTGACTCGGCTAAAGTCAAGTAATGGTCGTTTGCTTTTCCCTATCCCTCCAAAATCCAACATCAACTAGACATATCAAAAAATTTTCGGTCGTTTTTCACATACAAAACATAATGTCTGAACAATATAATCAATTTGCATTAAAACTATTTCATTCTCTCTCTCGCTCTCTCTCGCCCTATCCGTGTCTCTCATGCTCGCCCTTTCTCTCTCTCACTCTCTCTCACCCTATCCATCTCTCTCGTTCAGGCGCTCTCTCTCTCTCTCTCTCTCTCTCTCTCTCTCTCAAGATCAAAATCCCAAGTTCCTTACTTCCCTAGCCCTTCAATTAGGCAGATTGGTTTTTGTGAGCCTATACCCTTTGCTCGAAACGACGCGAAAATATTAAGCCGCCGGGCTGATCCGGATCCTGAAATCCCGCCAAAGTCACCGCGCCTAATCCGCTCCGGGAATCGGGGAGGGCGCAGTAAAAACTTTCAAACCCTCGTTCATCATAGTGCTGGCGACATTTTGATTAAAGTCAAACTTTTCGAAATTTTCTCTATACCTAAATCCCAAAATCCATTCATTTTAGGCAAAAAACGTAATTTCTAGCCGTAAAATTGCTATTTTGAGAATCCAAAGTTCAGGGCATTCCTGTATACATGATTTTATGACTTTTCGATCGAAAAACACAGAAAAAAGTGAATCACGACACTTTTTCTGCTCCTCCGCGCGACTCCAAATCCCTTGAGGCCCATATGTACAGGGTGTCCCAAAAAAAAAAACCCCCCCTCGGCATTTGGCCGTCTTCCATCCAATCGGGACCAAATTTTTACCAGTGATGGGGACCCAGAAAAACTATGTGCAGCCGAATTTTCTAAGCAAAATATTGTAAAACCAAAAAGTTATCGCTAAAAAACCGAATTTTGGAAAACGCTGGTACTCGTTTTTGGCTATGTTTTCGCAATTAGCATGCCGATTTTGAGTAATTTTCCAAAAAAAGGTCATTTCTCGGTCAGTTTCTGGCAATTTCAATAATAAAAGTGATCAAAAGGCCCAATTTAAACGTAATTTTCGTAAATCAAAAAATTTTTACAGGTAGAAAAGAGTGCCCTCTTCATTTTTGCTAAACATTTCGAGGCCGAAATCCGTCAAAATCCTAGTGAAATCGGCAAAATAAACCTTAATTTTAATATATCTTTTTTGTTTTACAATATTTTGCTTAGAAAATTCGGCTGCACATAGTTTTTATGGGTCCCCATCACTGGTAAAAATTTGGTCCCGATTGGATGGAAGACGGCCAAATGCTGAGGGGGGGTTTTTTTTTGGGACACCCTGTAAATTACGTCATGCTCTCGGAACGATCGAGCGTTTTTTAGACATCGAAAGTTTAGGGGATTCTGTTTTCTTAGCTTATTTCTAGGCGGTTGACGCCGTTTTATTCCATTAGCAGTTAAATTAACATTTTTAAAGGTATGGACTACGACGCGAACTTGGTGTCGATGGAGATGATCGCGGCGGCAGCGTTGGACGACAATAATAATGAGTATCCGATGGTGACTATGGTGAGTTAGAGACAGAGAGACAGAGAGAGAGAGAGAGAGAGAGAGAGAGAGAGAGAGAGAGTCGGAGAGAGAGTCGGAGAGAGCGAGTGAGAGGAGCGAGAGAGAGTGCGATGCAGTTGTACAGGACGGCATCTATTCCTCTAATTTGAGTGGCACGACATCGAAGTCGAGCGGAAGGCAATCAACTGGTTCATGTCGCGCTGTCTGCGCGGGTTCCGAGCTCAAATTCTGAGCCGGGAGGAGCTGTTCTGGAAGGTGGAGGAGGCGTTCATCCTGGAGGATTATATTTTTCAGCGATCCGTGAGCTTGGTGGGTGCATTTAATAGTAATAGCTCTTTACGGTTGGCGTAATTTGGACCATAGCGTAGTTGTCGGCAGCTAGTAGGGTAGATTTTTATATTTCCTAGCGGTAAACCAGTCGGAGAAGGCCCGAATGCCTCTCAAAAACACGCAAAATTTAGTCCAAGCGCTAGTTGCGCGTCTCTACGCAAAACCAAAAATATCGAAAAACTACATAAAATCATTTCCATTTTCAGGAAGACTACCGCGAAAAGTTCTCAATGGCCTGCTCGCAGCTGGGCGGCGGCAAGGAACCGATGCCCCCGTTCGATCAGCTGCCGTAAACACGTGGAATGTAACGTAGTCTCCTCACTCAACCGGCTAGGACGCGCCGCTATACATAGAGTGCCTTCTGTGGTCCCGCCAATAAATTGCATATCAACGTTTTTAAGGTGCAAAAAAACGAAAAAGATTGAAAAACATAAAAGTGCACCAAAATATACGTTGTTTTCACTTCAAAAAAACCGATAAAATGGAAAATTTAGTTATTTGAAAGCCTTAAATGTATCCAAGCTAGTTTATGTTCCCGAAAACATTTAAAATCGATTATATAACGCTTTTCAAGCTTAAATCAATGTATCTGAGGCCAAAGCCTACACAACACACCCCGAAATACCTACTTGAATACGCCAACTGATCGCAGTAGGTCCCTCCAAGTCCCGTAGGGCAGATACAGGAATTACAAGTGTTCGGATTCGTGTAGCCCTCATTTTGGCATGGTAGGGCGGAGCCGCAGGACCCTGAAAAGTAGCGGGGTTTACTACGCCAAAAAAAAATCAGTGCACAAGAACGTAGAGAGTAAAAAGCGTACTACCGCTTACCCCCTAAAAATTAGTTTATCAAATCTTGAGATAAAAGAAGTTGGAGATTACAACTACAAACAGCTCTAAAGGAACCGAGAAGCGCCAAAAGCATCCCATTTCTAAGACTGGATCTAGACTTATGCGCCAAGTTTCAAGATATTAGGATTTTTATTCCACTTTAAGCTTCTAGGTACAAAAATCGAAAAAATATAGAGGGATCAAGATTAATTTGAGGGTTTTTGCTGCAGTTTTGGGCTGTCAAGACCTAGTCCTTTGAGGGGTGGATTTTTGCGTAGCTATGTCTTTAACTTTCATTAAAAATTGAGACTCTGCTTGCATAGAAGATTAGTTCAAACATACACTAACGTAAAGCATAGTTTCCTTACTTGAGCAATACATTAAATTGACGGCCTTGTAGTCGTAGAAGGCTGGCTCCACTCGGTTTCCGATCGTGTACGAAAATTGCGATCGCATTGGGGTGATCGTATCGGAGCCAAAGGATTTGGAGAACGACTAGAATGAAGCGTTTGGGATAAAAACAAAAAGTATTGACTATATTTTTAAGTTTGGCAAGCAAAACTCACATTGATAGCGTAGTGCATGACGCTACCGTAGTCGTATGGGATTCCCAAGGATTGAGATAAAGCCGGGGATCGCTTGTCAAATGAGCCAGCGTAGCCGGAGGCGATATTTTGGAAGTTTACCCTGAAATTCTATCCTTTACTAACTTAAATTTTTCCAAATAGATGTTTTAGAATCTGGGATTGAGGGTTATCAATCAAATTTCTCAAAAAAACTACATAAAAAATGAGCTCCAAACCTGATATAAGCATCGCGTTCCGGCCGGGACTGTTCGTGGTATAATCCTAGACTGTGGCCGATTTCATGGGCAGCGATTCCCAGCTAAATCGTTACATATAGTTTCTAAACAAAATGGAACCGTTTCGCAGCCACTTCCCAGTGAAATTTCTTGTTGGCCGCCAAGCTTTCCGACACCAGAATAACATCTGCAAAAAAGAAGAAAAATGGAAATGGAGGAAAAATCAACAACATAGTCCTTGCATCAGATCGCATTGGAAAAATGTTGCAGACGAGATAGAGCGATAGAAAGAGAGAGAGAGAGAGCGAGAGAGATAGCGTGAGAGAGGGAGGTAGAGAGCTTGAGAGAGAGAGAACGAGATTTGACGAGACTGATATAACTTGCTTCCTCCAAAAACCTACCCATCCCCCTTACTAAAAATTAGGAAATCGCCGGCATTCCCGTTTTCCCAGAATTTGATGCAGGTGTTGGTCTGGTAGAGTCGTAGCGCGGCTCGGATTGTGTTTTGCCAGGTTCCTAAATAAAAATAAATTTGTTTGCTTAGTTTTCAGACCATCGGTATCGCCAAATCGATAGGCGATCGTGGTGGTCCATCTTTTTCCGAGATCCGACGTTACCTTTCTACGGCGGCGATTGCTGATGATTTGGTTTAGCTAAAATAGCGAGTAGCGAGGGAGTGAAGTTAGAGAGAGTAAGAGCTAGAGAGAGTAAGAGCTAGAGAGAGGGAGAGAGAGATAGAGAGAGAGGAGAACAGAAATTGCTGACCTGGGCCATAGTCAACATCATATCCGCTTCAAACAATCCACTCGTAATTCGGCTATTCGCTCGAATCTCGTTGTGCAGGGCTGCCGTAGTGATCGGAGTAGCTGGATTCTAAATCCGCAAAAGTTTAACGTCGTCACCTACAGCTTACAAAGGTAAAGCCAGCTCTCTGACTGTAGTATCGATTCAACGCTGTCACCACATTTTCATAGCTCTGCCCGCGGAAGGCACTGTTGAAACGGTTCACGTTATTGATGAGCTGAAAAGGATAGAAACATTAGGAACGCGGATTTAGCATATTTTTGGGAAATGAGTTCCACGGATTTGGTTGATCTACAAAAAAACAAAAATGCCTGGATAGCCTTCATGGCACCTTTAAACCGCGAAGAAATATCTACCCGTCGCAGCGTTGGAAAATTGTCGCGACCCATCGTTGGGAATCGCTGTTGAGGAGGTGGAGGAGGTGGTGGCGGAGGAGGCTAAACAAAAAGCTAAGTTGAAGCTAAGTGCTTCAAGGCTTCCTCAGGCTCTATTTCTCTCGCTCCCCCTTTCTGTCTCACTCGCTCTCACTCTCTCTCTCTCTCTCTCTACCTCTCTCGCTCTCTCTCACCTGCGGTCTAAACCTAGGAGGAGGTGGTCCTTGCTGTGGTGGAGTCGGAGGCGGGGGTTGATTCTAAAGATTGGTATTACCAGCCTAACCTAAGATTTTCAGCATAAATTTAAGAATTTATTGTCGCTCCTAGCTTACAAATTGTTGCTGCATCATTTGCGGAGGAGGTCCGCCCTCATCTTGATCGAAGTTTGGAGGCTAAAAATGTCAATTTTCCTCGGAATCCCAAAAAGCATTAGTTACCGGCTGTTCCTCGAACTCAGGCGGTGGTGGGCCCTCGTCCATCTATGTTAATGGCATTAGTAGTTAAGATAAGAATTAATAAATTATAAGGACTAGGTCGCCCAGTGCGTGATTGTTAAGAAATACTCACAAATGGTCTCGGTCCGCGTCGCTAAAAGAATACATAGGTTTTATCAAAATTTAACGGCAATTTGAGGAAAACGGAATTGACAATTTTTAAGCACGTTATTACGGTAATGACGTACTGTAATTTAATGTAATACTGATTTTACCAGTACTAGGTAAATCCCTTGGATACTTACAAAAAATGGTGGCGGTGGGCGCATCTAAAAGAAATACCTTCAAATAAATTTTTCTGCAAATTTCATGTGTCTACATTCAAAGATCCTACCCATGGAGGTCGTCCAAATCCACCTCCTGGGCCCCCAAATCCACGCGGCCCAAAACCGCCACCTCGGCCTCCAAAACCGCGGGGCCCAAAACCTCTTCCTCCTCCTCTAGGTCCAAAAGGAGGCGGACCGTCGTCTTCTGCCATCGGGCCAACATCGCCCTCATCTCCTAAAAGCTTTTTTTTCGATTTGTAAAAGTAAGTTAATTACAATACTATACTATTAACGCTACAGAAAATACATCGACAATACAAAAAAATAACATACCAAATGGTCCTCCAAATCCGCCATGGTGATGATGGTGATGTCTCATCCAGGGTGGTCGACCAAATGGAGGTCCAAATTGCGCAAGGGCTACGGTAGCCCAAGTAAGAATTAGGAGTACCATAACTTCTAAAAGGTGGAGAGTATTTTACTACCACGAAAGAATATAAAAATACACGTTATACCAGGAAAAGCAAATTAAATCGTAACAGGATTTTGAAGACGCTTGGGTCTTCGAATTTTTAAGAAGTTTCCGGTTCGATTAAAAGTCGTATTAAATCTATTAAAATTAATAGATGAGGTTGAAAAGCCCGAAAAAATTGAATCTAGTACAGCCGGTAGGTATCCAAACAACTAGCCGCCCCATCATCCGCCTCTCTCTTCCGTTTCTCTAGACCACGTTCCCCCCATTTCCACAATCTTTGCCATTCCCAAAAGGTTTCAGTGATTTGGCGAAATCAACTCCGGGAAGAGAGAAAGAAAGAGAAAGAGAGAGAGAGAGAGAGAGAGAGAGAGAGAGAGAGAGAGAGAGAAAGCTGCTGCCGCTTGCCAAGGATTTCAAGGGCGATTTGCTCTTGGGACCGCGTCTGGACGAACTGGCCTTTTGCTCGAGGAAATGCTTTTTTAGGGTCGGGATGACTGAATTAGAATCACTACTGCCTTCTTATTCGCTAAACTGACCCAGATGAACTGTTTTTAGCCAAAATATTTTGTCTGCTCTTTGATTGATATGGTCTGACCTTGAATTTTAAAATCCGGAAGGAAAACCGTACCATCGCATAACGCAACTTATAGCTTACCGACTTGCCAATTTGCCGTAGTGTATTGTATCTTTTAGTTATCGTATCGTTTGGCATTGCGGATCGTACTATTTTCATATCGGATCGTCTAGAGCCGTCGTCTACCGCCGTCGTCTCTTAGCGTATTGGATCGTCGTATCGTACCGTATCGCAACGTATCGTGTCGTAGCGTATCGTGTCGCTTCCGCGGCATATCGTATACACCATCACATCGAAGCTGACTGCAGCGCAAATTATCCTATAGCATCCTATCGTATCGTATTTTGTCCTTAGTGCATAGTTTTGCATCGTAGCATACCGTATCGTAGCGTAGTGCAATATATCATGTCATAGCGTATCGTCTCGGCTCCTACTTTCATGTACTATACGGCATCGTGTCATCTTGCCGTGGTGCAACGTAACGTAGCCTGTCGTCTTTTTTAGCAAAAAAGTGCGGTCTTTAAAAACTGCTCTCATTTTAGCCTCGTTCAGCTTGGTGTTTAGGCTCCAAAAATTGCTCTATATTTACGTTTTTCCCTTCCCGCGCCAGGGGCACTGACTGACCCCTGGGTGTCTATTAGGGGACAGCCGGGGGTTAGATAAGAAAGCCGGGGGCGATGGATCGCCAGATTCCCCTCGTTTCCCTGCACTTTGCACCTTGCTAATCGACACCTTTTTTGTTTTTCTTGATTATTTAAGCCATTTCCGGTTCTGAGCGGTGGTGTGGTTAGGTTCAGCTCGTAGCCGGATGTATTTTGGCTTGAACTGTAGTTTCTAAGCTTTAAAGCGAAGCCGCTTTCAGGTTTTTCAAGTGATGGTTCAGGCTTGTTGTCCCTTCCATTAGAGACAATTAAGCCTATGTTAAGCCTAAGCCAAGGCCTCGGCCAAGGCCTAAGCCAAGCTTAAGCTAAGCCTAAGCCAAGCTCAAGCTCGGCCGAAGCCAAGCTAAAGTTAAGCCCAAACTAAGCCCAACCCCAAGCCCAAGCTAATCCCAAGCTAAGCCTAAACTAAGCCGAAGCTAAACGAAAGCGAAGCCGACGTTAAGCTCAACTAAGCCTTTTTCAATCGCCTTGACCACAACTCCGCCCGGCTCCAAAGAACGCTCAAAATGCAGCTGTGTTTTCCTTCCGAGCTCTCCTCTGTCCAGCTCCAGGCCATGGGAATCCCACACTTCCTTTTGCCCGCAGCCGCCCATAGCTTTTCCATGCCCCATCCGCTTCTCTCAATCTCCATTTCTCAGTGGTGTCTCGCCCTCGGGGCTCCGATGCATCCCCGCATTTCGTAAATGTGGTTGGCGTTTTGAAACTATTGAAAGATAAACTTCTGAATTTCCGCTGTAGACCTTCCTAAAAAATTTTGAAAAAAGGAATGAGCCATTGGACGCCGTAAAATTTGCATAAACTGCCTGAAAAATGCAGTTTTAAGACTCCGCAAGTTTTTATAAATATTTTTCAATGAAGGTTTCAGCGGAATTTTGTACATTTTTCTTACAAAAATCCGTATTAACGTATGAAAGGCGTCTGAACTAATTTCTATGTTTATTTTTTTGCGTGACGCAATCAGATAGGGGGAAGATGGTGCGTTTTAGCGCCTTTTCCCACTAGTTAAATTTTACTATTGCCGTTTTCGGTGAATTTCGAGTATTTTGGAAAATTATTAAAGTTAGTTGATCGACTGATCCTTCCTTTCAAGCGGTTTTGGGTCTGTATTTTTTTCTGATGCTGAATTTCCGAGTTTTTATCTGATTTTCAGCTGAACTGCCGAGCACAACCATTTATTGTTTGGATCGTCCGCTTACTCCGCCCACAAAACCCGATCGAAAACATGGCAACAGAACCATTACTCAGGTTTGCGCTTGCACATTTTTCGGGATGTTTTCTATTGATAATGGTCGTTATTTCTCGTCTTCATTTTTTGAGGCTTGGTTCCAGGCTTAATTTTATTTATTAGGCTTAAATTGAGATAAATTTGCGGAAAAAATTCTAACCCCCGCACAACCAACATAAACTCCACGCGACACCAAAATCCGAAATTTCCGGTTCACGCTGAACTTTTGCACGGGCCATTTTTCGGCACCTGGACATTGGCATTTTAATGGAGGCGCGGGATTACGTGATAAGAGCGTAAATGGGCTGTGGAGAACACCCGTTATTCTCAGCTTTTCCCAGATTGACCCCCGGCGTGCCGAATGCAAAATTTAACGACTTTTTCCCGCCCTTGTAAAAGAGAATTCAGCGAAACAAACGGCTGCTGCTGACATCAATTGCCCATGATAAAATCAGGGGTAGAATCTGGCGACTCGCCTCGTTTTCCTCCGCATTTTTCCTGACTTCTTCTGCACATTCGCGCGCATTTCTAGGGATTGTGAATATTTTTGGGAAGCGTTTTTGCTGGTTGATAAGATAAAAAGCTTTTAGTTTGCCCTTATTTGAAAACCGTAGGATTTTCTAGGCCGTCACTGTCCAAAAAAATCCACACTACCATCAAATTCTGGGTTTAAGCTTAAAATCGTTTTAGTTTGTTTTTTTTTAACCAAATTCCGCTCATTTTTAGCTATTTTTCTAGTTCACTCTCTCGCCCTTTAGCTCTCTTTCTACCGCTCTCTCACTCCCTCTCATTCTCTCTCGCTTTTGCTTAACGCCCTCCGGTAATCGCTCTATCGTTCTCTAGCAATCTCTCGCTTTCTCTCACTTTCACGCGCGCTCTATATCTCGCCCCCTATGGCGCGGCCTATCACTCTCTCTCACTCTGTTTATTTCTCCCACTCTCTCGCCTCATGTCTATCGCAACTTCATTCTCAAAAAAATCTCGTAAAAAACCCTCGAGTACTTTGAAGTGTGCTGCCCCATGCTCCGATCAGTAAACCCGATATAATCGGCTTGCCCCCGGAAATCGGAACACAGCAGGCGAATCAGCGGGGAAAGTGGCGATCAGTTAGCTGACCGGGAAATGACAACATCAACGCCCACTCTGTTTCCCGAAATCAATGCCTCATTTTGCGTTCATTCTCTTCTTTTGGGAATTGATTGCTTACTGGAATCGGATCCTCTTTCTAGACTTCCCATCCTTTTCAGGCGCTGATTTAAAGCTAAATTAGGCTAATTTGGTTTTTAAAATGACCAGAAAAATACAAAACTGCTTGTTGGGGTTCCTAAATTTGCATCCGATCACCGCATTTTGCGGGAAACGGCGTAGGTGTTGCGTGCGCGACCATTTCAAACCATCGGCGCAGCTTTCTGACTCCCTAAACTCCATAGATGCGGTGGGTCGCATGCAAATGTTTGGTCAAAATTGCAATTAGGTGGATTGAAATATTTTGGAAAAATTGTTCGATTAAAATATTTTGCTATAGCTAAGGTTTGAAAACGAGTATTTTTAGTGGCCCGGAGATGGAGGCGGCGTTGAAGGAGCCGTATGGGTCGACGGCCAGTACAAGTGACGAGCCGACGCCCAGTACTTCTTCTGGAGCAAGAGAGAGCAAGGTACGGATCAATTTTTAAGACCATTTTTGGTACCTTTAGGTTTTTAGTTTTGCTTAGTTTTCAAGTTTTTAGCATTGTTTTTTGAGGTACTTAGGCAAGCCTCCCGTTTTCAGGAACTCGAAGCCACCGGTGGCTCATTCTCCCAAAAAGAACTCGAAGCAGCAGCAGGGGACCCGGAAAGACATCGCACAAAATTGGAAGAGGTTGGTCTTAAAACATACTTTGAAGATTTATAAAATCCGTACCATCTAGGTTTCCAAGAATGAGCATTATCCAGTAAGTTTAATGTCGTTTCCAGCGTTTAATATTTTTATTTTTATTTTTCTTCCGCATGCCTAATCTCTTTAATCTCTTGCTCTTTCTCCAAAAATCAATGAGCATGAGATTTTAATTGAAATCATGTAATTTAATTGATTAAACGTTTCCAGTTCGGGCTGAGCATCGTGGTGATATTGACGGTGGCGGTGAGCTGGGCGTTGAGTACGCAGTTTAGTAAAACGGTACTTACAGTGGATCCGAAGCGGTTTTATGCACCGTATTTTATGGTGGGTATACTTCAGAAAATCAGGAGAAGGTAATTTAGATGTGGTTTTCAACATGCCATATGACTCTCTGCTACCCGATGTACATTTTGATGGCGCATTTTGTGAAGAAGCAGAGCTTGCGGGAGATTCATGAGTGAGTTAGAGAGAGAGAGCGAGAGAGAGAAAGAGTGAGAGAGATAGCGAGAAGGAAAGACAAAAAGAGAGCGAGAGAGGAGAGAGAGAGAGAGAGAGAGAGAGAGAGAGAGAGAGAGAGAGAGAGAGAGAAGGAAAGCCAGGGAAAGCGATAAACGGCGAAATTCTAATTTTTTCATTTTTCAGGGATTCCGTCACGATCTTCAAGGGTCGAGGCATCAGCCCGATGTCGATGCTGCTCTATGTAATGCCATTTTTGATCCTCTGGGTGGCAGCCAACTACAGCTATTCCAGATCACTCGGTGCGTAAAATTTCAATTTTGCATTCCTGAATTTTCTTTGGTTTACGAGTTTTTATGGATTTTTTTACAGGCTATAAAAATAGTTGAACCATTCTGTTTCGTCAAAATCATACAAACAAAAATATCTGCCCATTTCAGGCTCGATCTCGGCCTCCGTGGCCACATCAATCTCCTCGTGCAACACGGCCATCGTCTACATTCTGGCCATATTGCTGCTTGGGGATAAATTCGTTCCGCATAAGGTATTTTTAATGCTATTTTTACTATGTTACTTCGTTATGGTATTTTATATTTATGACTTATATGGACTTGACTTATTGAATTTAAAGTAACCACTTAAAATAAAAATAATGAAAAGAATCCTCGGCTTAAAAACGGCTATATGTCTCCCAGATAAAGCAAAAAGCCCATAAAATCCAGTTTTCCATAATCCCAACCCAATTCCCTTTCATGCCTCCAAAAAGCAAAAAGCGTTGCCCATGGGTGGAATCGAACCACCGTCGCCACGGCCACAACGTGGAGTACTAACCACTATACTACATGGGCCGAGAGAAGGGCGGAGAGGGGAGAGTTATGAGGGAAGAGAGGTCCCAAAACCCAAAAAGCATCCCCCTTTCAGCTCCTCTCCGTGGTGTTCGCTGTGGCCGGCGTCACCGTGATGGCGTTCGACGGCGAGATCTCCGGCGAGGTGCCCGGCATCGTGTTGTCGGTCATCTCCGCGGCATCGGCCGCTTGTTATAAAGTGTGCTTCAAGCGGGTCATTGGGAGCGCCTCTTTTCCGCAGGTAGGCCTTAAAAACCGCCTTAAAGCGGCTCTGGCAGCAAGCCCCTTTTTCCACGACTCGTGGAAGCGTCGCGGTCGGGTGCGTCGCGGCAGGGAGAGAAAGAGCGCGCCCAGAGGAGAGACGCAGACAGAACTCTGCGTCTCTGCCCGGTCCCTAAAATGCCGTAATCGGTGTGCTGCCAGAGCCGCTTTAAAAGCTTGGATTATACCTTCAGGTGTCCCTCTTCATGACGTGCCTCGGCACCCTGAACTTGTTCATCAACGCCGGTATCGCTTTTGGGCTCCTCTTGACCCCGTGGGAATGGATGGAGATCTCGGCCGTGCCCTGGGCGCCACTTTTTTGCAGCCGCCATTTTGAGCTTGTGTGAGTAGAAGCTCACAATTTAAAAGAAACGGATGGTCAAAAGACTTATGATCCCAACAAACAGCAAAAAGTAGAAGCTACAAGCCTATAATAGTAATTCTTAGTGTTCAACTTCACCATCAACCTCGGCATCGCCATCCTGCACCCGTTGGTGATCTCGGTCGGGATGTTGGTCGGGATCCCGTTGAATACAGGTTAGAAAATCTATAGGAACGAAACTAAAATATTTTTAGCAATCGACGTCGTCTTCCGCTCCGTCGAACCGACCGTCTTCTTTTTGACCGGTAAGCAAATGGTTCTGCACTTTAAAAGCACTTAAAAATCCAACGCTGGAAAAGTTTAGATCTTCTATCAAAAAGAAGAAAAAAAACAGCATAAATACCTCGAAACCCTTCAGTAAAACCTAAACTTCAAAAACCGAGTTCTTAACTTGGAAAAAAATAAGGGGTTAGTTTTTCATAAAACTAATTAGTAAAAAAATTTTAACACGACGAAAATACCTAGAAACCCCCCTTAATTAAAACATAAACCTCAAAGACCTATGCTGACATTTTCAAAATCAAAAGAAACCGCTTATCCGGGCGTTTTTATAAACTATCTATTAAAGACTACCAGAACGATGGAACGCGCACTGTCACCCCGAGGGTGCTGCCCCCAAGAACGCGCAGAGAGGGTCGTCATTAGTGGTGTCCCGTATTGGGCAAAGACCCTCTGGGGTTTGGGGCGCCTCGCAATCCCTTCCCCACTTGGCCCTGTGGTATAGTGGCTAGCGCGTCGAACTGTGGAGCGAACCATCGCGGGTTCGACCCCCGCCCGGTGCGCAACTTTCTTGCTCTAAACGATATTTCATCGTTCTGACGGTCTTTAATAGATTATTTCCCAAAACTTCGGAAATAACACGCCATTCCAGGCTTTCACAGACAGGCACGGATAGCTTTTGGGCTACGGGGGGCTGCCCTGCACAAGGGGACAGCGCGCTTGCTACGTTTTTCGCTCGAAATGAACAAACTTTTGAACAAAATTGGATTTTTCTCGAAATTTTTATAGAAAAATTAGAAACTCAATTAGATTTAAATATTCTAGACGCCAGGGCGCAGCTTTTGAGACCTAACTCTCGAAAATCTATTCTGGTACTTTTTCGTGATGGTCTTTTGAAGTTCAGTCCAGGATTT